ATCTAGGTATCTATCTGTCTATCTATCTATCTATCTATCTATCTATCTGTGGACCTAGCTGTCTACCTATCTACCTATCTATCTGTCTATCGATCCATCTATCCATCCATCTGCCTGTCTATCTATCTATCGATCTACCTATCGATCTGTCTATCTATACTTATCTATCTGTCCATCTATCGATCTTCCTTACCATCTGAATTTACCATCGATCTTTGTTTGGCACGTTTAACAGAGACAGACAGACAGACAGACAGATAGACAGACAGACAGACAGACAGCCAGCCAGCCAGCCAGCCAGGCAGGCAGGCAGACAGACAGACAGACAGGGAGGGAGGGGGGGAGAGAGAGAGAGAGAGAGAGAGAGAGCGAGCCTCGTGGCAGGCAATGTTGTGGACCCTTTGGATGCCATTGCTGACTATGGAACGGACGCGCTGCGGTATGCCCTGCTTACGAGCAGTGCAGCGGTCCGAGAGCGCCCGCGGAGTGAATGCAGACAGATTTGCATCATCGGAGGAGTGCTGCGAAGACCTACTTGCACGTCTTCAGGAAATCTCGGAACCCTTTTAACTTGTAGCCAAAAGCAACTAAAGCCTAAATTCGCTCTCGGCAAGGTCCCTGGAATGGACGTTCCCGTCAGCAAAGGCGGCCTAGAGAATGCCAAGGCCGAGCGCTTGCCCAGCAAGGGCTCCTTTGCAGGGTGGCTTCTCTTGATGAGAGTACCCAAGAGCTGTAGTAGTATTGATGCATGAAGGTCTCCTAGCTTGAGGCAGTCTCGAACATGTACGATTTCATCATGACTCACACTCGGAGGCCTTCGCGAACAAGATCTGGAACGTGGGAAGATTCATCATTACAGAGCACGAGAAGAATGCTGAGACCATTGCCACTGCCTGGGGCCCGGCTGGGATGTTTCAGGCTACGACACGACATTTCACAGGAGAGCCTACCTGAGCCACATGCTACGATTAGCTCCCATGCTGCCAAAGGCTGTTGCTGTCAGCCTCAGAATATTACGGGTACTCTGGCTGCCCTGGCTTTTATGAAGCCCTGCCATCACATCTGCGTCGAAGCTCCGTCTGGTCCAAAAGCTCGCTCAGAACTTTGAGAGCGGCATGCAGTTCTCGGAGGAGGAGATCGCCTCCATGCTGAGCCCTCAACGCCCTTGATCCTCGGGATGTAGTTTCCGAGGGGATGAGATGGAGGTCCAAGATGTTTCCGTAAGTGTTTCCTTCGGTGAAGACGATATCGGTGCGGCGCAGGTCAGAGGGGTTCATGCCTCCAGGTTAGACTGCCTTGCCCACCCCGAGCCTTGCGCTGCAAGGCCTTGGCTGGAAAGGGCTCTGCTCTCAAAGCTTGGAGCCCAGTGGACCTCTTGGGTTTTTTAGGAGTTTCGGGTTTCGGTTAGGGTTTGGGTTTTTTCCGGGTGTTTTCAAGGCATTCAAGCAGGAAGTTTTATGGGGTTTTATAGGCGTTTGCTTAAGGGGGCTTTGCGATTTAATAGGTTGTTGAAGCCGGTGTTCGAGCGCTTGTAGCAGCGATCTGAGCTTCTTGTTGCGAATTCCTTGCGTGGCCCTCGTTGTGACGCTTTTTCGCAGATATTATCCCAAATGACAGAATGAAATCAAGCTAGCTGGGAGACGGACAGGGTGCCGATGATGCACGGCTACTGCTCTGCCCCTATGAAGCCACAGTCAGCAATGGATACCCAAATATGTTCTTAGGGGTACTTAGAAATGATTTTTAATCTTCGGCTACTATATAAACCCTAAGAAGCAGCTACAATTATAGTTTTTGCTAGGGGGTCTAAGCTCAGTATAGTTGCTAATGTTGGCCTTGAGCCGAACTGGGGATCTCTGCAGGTGCCATGGCCTCTGCGAGAGCGTCACAGCCTCCTTGGCGGCCAACCGCTTTGCACCACCCACGAAGGCTGAGCCGAAAGGGCTCCGAGGGTGGGAGGAAGGTAGCTGGGGTAATCCCAATATAAGCGTCCTTCTGTCAGGGATCCTTAATCCTACCTACCTTCGTCCCACCTTTTGTGGCCCTCCAATGAGCTGTTGCAGCCACTTCTAGTGGTTTTGGAGCAAGGTCATCTCGTTGGGTTGACTTGATTGAGCAGGTTGAGGGTGTCGAGCCTCATGTGCATGCAGGGCTTCTTGGCCTGCGCTCGAAAGTTGAGGATTTGATTTGGGGCAGTCTTTCGTTGGCTTTCGCTGCCGGTCCTTGGATGGCGGAGCTGCCCCTTGGACAGTAAGAAGATGCCATAAGCCCCCACCCCTTTCCCAGGCCCCCACCCTCGCTCTCGCTTCTTTTCTTGAACAGGAGATCAAGGAGTTCCTGCAGGAGGATGTTGCGTCGTGGTACGTCTCTGCGACCTGTTTGTTTTTGTGAGTTCCGGGAGCTTGGAGCTGGAGTTCGGCTGCTAGGCTAGAATGTTTCGATGCTGCTTTCCGCTTTCTCCTTCCTTGGTCTTGATGCCCTGGTGTTACGGATACGTCTTGACTTCCGAGTAACGGGGCGATGCCGAAAACATACCTTTACACGGGCGCGGAAGTGTATCGCAGCGGGCTGTGTTTGCTCTGAGCAGTAGGAGCTTCAATACAGCTTCACTTTCGGTCAAGCACTGTGGTTCGTGTTGTCAGAACCAGGAACTGGGGTTCCCACAATTTCAGCCCCCTTAAAACTCCGACGATGGAGCAGCATCAATGTGTGGGTTAAGATTTCGCACATCTCTCTGCTTGCCGTTGACCGTTTGCCGCTCAAGCCCGTCACAGATATTGCTACACTCGCGCCCAACGCGCTGCTGAGCTCACTTATGATGGCGGCGGTACAGGGAAACAGGCTCCTCGATATTGGTCCACCCTCCCACGCACGCACGCTTCTGATCGCTGGTACACTTCTGTACGTTTCTAACTATGCTTACTATTCTTATTGCACCTGTTTCTCATGACTGCTTGCTTGATTGCGAATCCGATGAATATATTCCACTGATTAGTTTGCTGAGATTGTTGTTCGTCTAGTCTTATTAGGTAGCAGCTGAGTACAATAGCGAAACATAGCATAGCATTGCATAGCATTGCATACCGCAGTATAGTACCATATAGTATGGTAGCTCATAGTAGAGTAGCAGTCGAGAAGAGTATATATAGTATCGTATTGTATAGTACAGAGTAATGCAGTATAGTACAGTATAGTATAGTATAGTATAACATGGCATGGTCTAGACTAACATAGTAAAGCATGCAAAGTAGAGTGTAGTAGAGTTTAACACAGCATAGCCTTGTAGTAAGGAACAGCACAGCACAGTTCAGACATCACAGTAATAGATTAATACGGCATAGTATACTAAAGTAGAGTATAGTATAGTATTGCCTATAATATCGTATAGTCGTATAGGTATAACATAGTATAGTAGAAGTCTGATATAGTCATAGTATAATATCATGTTGCCTAGTATAGTATAGTAGAGTATAGTATTGCCTTGTATCGTGTAGGAAAGCATAGTCCAGTACAGTATAGTATTACATTCTATACCTTAGTTTAGTATACTGTAGTATACCGCGGTATAGTGTAGTATGGGACAGGATAGGTAGTTTCCACGACACCGATAGATCCACAACTGACGAGTCTCTGTGTCTTGTGGGCCCCGTATCTAGGTCTCGGACTCGTAGGGCAGTGGCCTCGACCCTTCAAATCGTTCCTGGATGCCTCCAGGTCGATCCTGTAGTTCGACAAAATAGACCATAGCCCTATAGCCTTAAAGAATAACAACATACAAATAACATCTCTGAGCCCCAAACCCCGAGAGTCCAAAAATCTCCAGCAGTGGATAGGCCGGATGCCGAGCGTGGGGAGATGCCGGTGGCATCTTGACCTTGACTGCTCTCTCCGGTCGTTTTTGTTCCTACGCCCTAGACCCTTATAGCAAGCCTTCCTGTAGCCCTTACAGGACCCTTCTTGGAAAGAGGAGCGATCGCCGAGTGGAGTGGGCTCAGCTAATGCAACCCCTGACGGATCACGACACAACATCTGTATCGTATAGTATGGTATAGAATCGTACAGCAGAGCATAGAAAAGTATACCTAGTGTATAGTGCGCAAGACGTGCCAAGGTACAGGGTATCCCGGTCGGCCAGGTCGGTGAGCTTGGCATGTTTACGTTTTGCTGAGAGTCGAAAGGTTTGTCGTGTCGTTCAGCCGGGATGGGTTCAGCTTCTGCTTTGGGTCTGCCGATTGGCATCTGCTGCTGGTGGTACAACTGTTGCCGGCAAGTCAAGAACTGAGCCAAATCATGCTGACAATACTCCGAATCGAGGCATGCCTGGTGATGCATTATCGTAGCATACGTAGACTGACGTAGACGCCCAGTTTGAAAGTCAGGTGGCCGTAGCCTGCTGCATGATACCAGAGGCAGCACAGCCCTTGAGTCAATGCCTTACATACCTCGACCGACAGCATTCCCTTGAACACTGTCTTGTCCTGAACCCGGATCAGGTTACCCTGCCAGCCTCTTCGAAGCATCCTTCAGATGTCCGGGTGACAGGCCCGAGCCCCGGGATCGTGGGAGCTCCGCAGTACGCGGCCCCAATGCCCGTCTTCGCGCTTCCTCCGGAGGCACTGCTGCGCGACGACTTCTACCATCTTCAGTTAAATCATTGGAGAGGATTTCGGCTTGAGGGCTGGAAGATGCAGGAAAGCCAGAAGAAAGGATTTACGAGCCTCCTCAACCCTGATGGTCGCAAGCCCCATAAACTACACCGACAGGACCTGATCGTCCTGAACTACCGCACAGCAGTCATGTGTTTCGCCTTCATCAACCTCCTGGTCACTGTGCCTTGGCCTGTCGGAGACTGTGCCCTGCCAAGGCTCCCTCCTTCAGCTTATCGTTATCAGGCGCAAGCTGACGTGATACTCACTCAGTCGCTACAGTTGTTGTGGTAGTAGAAGAAGAAGAGGCAGTACTCAGGACGAGGAGGAGGAGAGGAGGAGGAGAGGAGGAGGAGGAGGAGGAGAATTTCGACGACCATGATGAGACTATAAGGATAGCAACCCATAAGTCCATGGCAGTATCCTTGCTACTGGAAGAGGAACACTACGCAGGCAGTTAAAGATGAGCTGATGAGCTGTAACGGATCAAAGGAACCGCTGCAATGCCGGTACTACCGGGTCTGGAGTTCCCCGAATTCTCATGATTTCTGAACCAGTGCACCCTTGTCAATTTGTAAACTGGGCTTTGCCAGGGAGTGTTGTCTTGAATGCCTCCGAAACTGTGCAGCAATTGCCTCAGTGGCATGGACAAGATGAGTTAATTAGGGAGCATTAGTTGGTTCTATCCCGGCTTTTCGCTTTGTGTGTTTGCGTGTCTTACCAAGCCTCGTTCGTCGAAGAGTAGGAAGGCGATGCCATGGCGTAGCTTGAGGTGATGAACGTGATCACCGCCGTCGTCTGGGATACCAGGCGGAAGAGACAGACCCTTTCAAATGTGATTGGCTCATGTCGACATGGAGATTGCGCTGCACGACCGGTTGCCTCGTTTTATTGCTTTGGTGCGCTCTTGTAACTGCAAGCTTTGCCGGCCTTACCTGGCCCATGAAGCGTTCTTTGAAGGCTGTTAGAGCTTTAAGTCGGTTTTGATGTCTTAAGCTGGGCATGGGAATCTCGCCAGTTTGGTCGGAAGCGTGTCTGCTTCTGCAGGTGGGGCCACTGGTCGCTGATTCTTTTGGTCTTCACTCTAGGCCAGTCCAGTGGGAGGGGCAAACCTTGCAGCCCCCTGTGAATGCAGAGGTCACCCTTCTTCCACAAAGAGATACAAAGAGTCTCCAAGAGAACGTCGCAACGTAAACAGCTCATCCCGTCCATGCTCCGTCATGCACAGCCTCCCGCGACCTTCCAGCAGCGAAACTCGCAGACCAGCCAATGCTTTCCTGTTGTTGGACATGTGTTACATTTCGCGTTCCACAGTCTGGATCAGCTTATTCAGGCTTTCTCGTTCTCCTGTTCAGCCGTTAGGAGGAGGCTTCTTCAGAATGGAGCTGTAGCGACTCTAGTGATGAGTGCAGGGTTTTTTCCGTTTGCCTGGGTCGCCAGGGCCGGGAGAACGACCCGAAGCCTTCCTGAGCCCCTGCGGGACGATGTTTGCCCGTCATTGATCGCGAAAAATGTCTAGTTACAGACTTACAGACCCCCATGCAACCTTGCTTCTACAGTAGTTTACTTCGCTGCGACTCTCCTTCCTGTTGCTATCATTGTTTCTGTCGCAGCAGCATATACATATATGCACTTATGTATTTATGCATATATATATATATATGTAGGTATGCATAGAATCTAATATAGAGTACATAGTATTTCTATGACGGCCCCAACGAAGGTTCAGGTTCAGGAGCCCATACTTCCGGAAGCCCTCAAGAGCAGGCCCCGTCAGCGGCTTGATCGGCGCTAAGCACCTGAACCGCGCTCTGGTGACGGCTTCCTGGCATTGAGTTCAGAAGGAAGGCGACTGATGTGATAAATACGTGATGCCATGAAATACAATCAATGTATATATATATATATATATAATATATATATATATGTATATACATATATATATATATATATATTGTGCAAAGATGAAGAAGGCGAGGACAAGGCATCACCAGATGGCGCAAGTGCCGACATACCTACAGCATATGGTATCTTGGGATGCGAGGCCTGCGGAATGCCAGTTTTCGAAATCCAAAACCTGACACATAATCGCACCGTGCCCATGCCAGCAACGGGACATGCAGCTACATGTCGGCAGATTCAGATAAATATTGCAGCGGCATTCGCACCATAGGGTTCGGGTGGGAGGACCACGATGCTGTCGATATTGGTTTTCAGCAATGGTTTTTGGGTTGTGCTGATGAGAAACCCTTCGTGTCCCTCCGGCCCGAAGGGAGGCCTCAAGGAGGCGTTGGATCCCACTTAAGGCTTCAATCATCAATGGGGCGTCGCTCTGCTCGCGAGGGGTTTAGTGAAGGTCCCTGTAGCTGCCCAGTGCCCGAATGTTTGGCCCTTGGTCGTCTATCTAATCCGTTCCCACCGGCGCGCGCTGTCTAAGGTTTATCTGGCCTTCTGCATCTTCGAGTGCATCGTTCAAATAGCTCTGGCTGCGTGGACGTTCTGGCTTTGGACGATTCTCTTCGCTTTTGTGCAGGCCATCTGGACAAAGTTTCATGGTGTCACGGAGTCACGACATACACAGCTTGATGGCTTGTGCGAAATGCAGGTGTGGGTAACCAAGATAGTGGCGACTTTCTGGTACTGTTTGGGAACCTCGGCAGCAAGAAGCAGCGGCTAGTATGTGTTTGCGACGGTTTTTCGGCACCACCGCACCTTCCGCTGGTTCAGGGTGGAGGATTGAGGCCGTAGCATTTTGAGCCCCCAAATAGGGGTCTTCATAAATAGAATAGGGTTTTGGGGCCCATTATACTATAATTATAATAAGGAACCCCCAAAACCCTATTCTAATTATTAAGGCCCCTATTAATTGTGGGTCATTCTGTCTTGAGGCAAGATCCCGCTTGACCGTCGCAGTCAGCTGCTGGACCTGAAGGATGTGGAAGTGCGAATGGTGTACTGGTAGATCCTCTTGTATTACTCTTATTATTATTACCAGTATTGTTATTACCATTATTATCATTAATAAGGCCCCTATACTATTCCATTCTAAGCTTCTACAATTATTGCCTTAGGGCAGCACAGGATGGCTTCGGGCTTTGTTCTGCCACCGGGGCCCCTTTGAAGGTGCCGAGTTTAATCAGAGTCGATGAAGTTACTAAAGACCGCTGTGAAGGGAAGCCTCAGATGCAGAACAGTTCCCGAGTCTACACTATGTGGCAAAGCCAGCTATCCAGCTCAGTGGCAACTGTACAGCCTGCCTCAGCGTCTGGGCGACTGCGAAGAAGCTTCGTCGAGGTCGAGTGTGCACCTCAAAGAATCTTCTTCCGCAGTGTTGCTTTTTCTTTGGCCGACAACGTTGACAGAAGTTCAACACGAGGGCAGCACAGCCAACGCCGCGAGAGATCGGCAGCAAGGAGTGTTCTCCATACCGTACTTGATACAACCATCCACAGCATGGATAAGAAGTACCGCCCAAGACTGTATTTTGACTTTGAGCACTGTTCACTTCAGATAACCTGGAGTGAATGACGAATGAAGAGTTTTGCAACTCATTGTAAAGTCGCACCTTAATTCGGCCAACGGATGCATGGTATCGCCAACTTGCAACATCGGTTGCAGCCTGGCTTTCAAATGACCGCGCTCGCAAAAAGGTCAGCTCTTACTGATACCTAGCAGACCTACCGTGTCAAGCTAAACACCTAGTCCCAGAACCTGTAAACCTCGAACACGTCAGCATCTCCTAAAGCTTCTCGACCTCGTGAGATTTCATGCGCTGTCTTGCTGCATGCTAGCATCTGCGCACATTGGCTCTGAATCTCTGCGCATGCAGAGTCCCAGGTATAGCGCTGAAAGACATCTCAGTCCAGTAGTAAATGTCTGCTGTCAGCCTGCACCTTGCTTAGCTTTTTTTAATGTTGGAGGAAGGTAACATAGTTTTGGAAACTCCCATATGCAAGCTAACCACCCCCCAAGAGAGTATAATATGAGTCCCTGGATCCCTTCCCACAACAGGTGGAAGCTTCAAAGACCCGGCTACAAGATCATCTCGGTCCTATCCCGAGCTGGGATCTGCAGTTTCGGAGTTCAGGGTTTCAGCGGTGAGGTCTTGGACTGAATTCTAATGTCTATGCTTTCGATGCCACCATGTTGAATGGCCACAAACTCCAAGCACTGTGCTAAAATTGTCCTGACAAGGGAATCACAGAGATTTGCCGTCTTTATAATATCTGTATATACATGTAAAATTCTTGATATATGCACATATGTACAAATGTGTATATGTATGTATGTATGTATGTATGTATGTACGTACGTATGTATGTATGTATGTATGCACGTACGTAGGTGTGTATGTATTTATGTACGTATGTGTGTCTGCCTGTATGTATACATGAACATGTATATACATGCATATGTACGTACATATGCATGCATGGTTCTGTATTCTTCATGTGCTCATGTTTCGTTCGTGCTTATGCGTTGATGTGCTTGTGTATTGGTTTATGTTTGTGTAGTCAGTCTCGTATTCTGGTACTGATGCGTGCACACACATACACACAGATACACGCACATACACATACGCGTACATACTTACTTACATACATACATACTTACATACATACTGACATACATACATACATACATACATACATACAGTGGTTCATGCATACATGCACGCATTCGCACATACGCACAAACACCTGCAGACGTAAACACATAGACAACTACGCAGGTACACACACACACACGTACACACGCAAACATGTGCACCATATACACACGTGTGTGTAGTACAATACGGCTTAATATCGGATCATACAAACATAAAAGATTGCAATATAAAGCAATACAGCACCATACAGTACAAGGAATAGAGTGAATAGAGTATGCCATTTGCAATAGAATGCATTTGATTTATTCTATGCGATGTAGTAAACATGTAGAATGTACTATAACATTACGTACTATAACAGAATACAGTATAATACAATATAGCACAATATAATACAGTAGAATGCAATATCATACAATATAACATGACATAAGATAACATAATATGATATAACATACTGCCATGAGTAATGTAAATAGATATATATATATATAATGTAATCTTACATCATCAAATGAATGATGTCAATCTGATCTAGCGGAACATCGTAGAATGCAGTACACATAGTATAGTATGGTAGAATGTCATATAACGTAGAAGTACTGTTACATGTGATATAGTAGAACATAGGATAATGTAGTGTAGTTTAAATGATCTAATCTAACGTGATGTTGTTGTGACATGTCATGATATACTGGGATAAAACTGAAAGGTAACCGAATATTATCGACAGAGTATCATGTACTCTTATCCAATATATCGTCACATCATGTAACATAGTATAATAAAACTTCATATATTGCAGTAGAATATATAAATGCATGATAAGACAAGAACAAAAACAGATGGAATGTAGATGCTGTCGTAAGTTATGTGAGTATGTATGCGTGTGTGTATGTATATATATATATATATATGTCTATATGTGCAATACGTTCATTTTGCATACACAGTCTCCCTGCCCTCTGGGCTGCACATCTGCGGAGGTGGAGATCCGAAGAGCCCCGAGGCTTGGGTCCTTTGCATGCTTGGGGTTCAGAGGGGTTGTTAGGGCTCAGGGCTTTGAGGTCGTTTTACATTGTGATCGTTGGGCTTGGGGTTTGGGTGAAGAGTTTAGGACTTGGGTTGGTGGGCCGGGGTTTAGCATGTGCTGACAGGGCAGGAGCATGATCAAAGGCGCCGAATCAGTAGCGCTGCCTGTAATCGCGTCTCACCAAGAACCCGAATGACCCTGATTTATTTTCAGTCGGCGAAATGATTTGAGAAGGCTTGCCGAGCTTGTGCTTTAGCAGGATGTACCCGTCGACTGATAGAAAAGGCTCCCTCGTCTGAGCCAGAGGCCGCCACAGCTCAGAAGGTTTTGCTCTACCTCCTGGAGGCCGTTTTCGGGATCTCTTCTTTAGACTCGCCCTCTTCAAAAAGCTGTGTTCCTTCTGGTAGCGTGAGCTTTCGGAGCCGCTTCTCTTGTTGGCCAGAGCAGGTATCTTTGAAGCTTTTGCACCCCTTTATGCCGTTCGTGACCGAGGCGGAGAAGCATACCACGTTCATGGCAATCTCAACTCAGTGTTCACTTCATGATTGAACTATGTCTGCACGCGCTTCCCTTCGAGGGTCTTCTGTAAGAACTATAACTTTCTGTAATTGTGTATGTGTACATATATATATATATTATATATACATGAGCTGACGGCATCGGGATGTCCTCGGTGCCAGTGTCTATGCTTTCTTTCCCACGAGGCAGTCTGGCAACGGCTGCCACGTACCAAGTCGCCTGACGCCGAGACTGGAAGTCCCATAGTCGTATGAGGAGATCCGCTTGTGGTGCCAAGGCCCCCGTCGTCTAAGCGCTGAGGGTCAAGCTGACGAAGTCGTCTTTGCCTGCACTTTCTCTCTCTCTCTCTCTCTCTGTCTCTCTCTTTGGCTCCCTTCGAAACACCACTTAGCCACATGTGGAGTCGCGGAGTCACAGTCCAATCACGGATCCCGGCGTTGTCGTGCCGATTCTCGAAGAACCTCCAAGCCCGCAGCTTTTGCTGGCCGCGCGTTTCGGCCAGAGGGTTCTTGAATGTAGACCCGAGAGAGGGTTCTCGAACATTGCAATGCCGATCAGGTCTCCGCGGTCTTTGATGATTAGCGCCTGGTGCGGTGCTTACGCACGACTGGGGGGGGGGGGGGGGGGGGAACCTTAGAGAGACAAGGATGGCAACCTCTCTGTGCTTTCCATGCGAACTCAGGCCTCAGCCTGCCACGAAACGCGACAAGGAGGCCGAAGGTCCCCCGGGCTGGGTGGCAGAAGAAGCTTGGTGAGTGGATCTCTTCACCGAATCTGTGTAATAACACCTGTTCGTATACCATCCTGGCACGCACTTCGAGTTTCGAGGGGCTGTTCTGTTTGCTCATGATGTCGACAGTTCTTGCAACATTTCTCAAGCACGTGCAGTGCTGACCTGAGTTGCCGGTCCTAGGTCCTAGGTTAATTTGTCAGCCAAGAAGGACTCGTTGCCAGGATCATCACAAGTCCCGGAGTCATGAAGTCCTCCGCACGCGACACTTTTACCCTCGAGCCCATGTTGGCGTACAGATCGGCCAGTCATGTCCCCCGATTGTCAGCCAGGTTGGTTTGCAAAGCTCTGCGCTGTGACTTCTGCCGTGCGGAACGCCCGGGCGGAGCAGGGCATTGCCCCCAAGGCCGCGCACCAAGCTTGCCCGGATAACGCAATATAGGGGTCTTAATAATTANNAGAATAGGGTTGTGGGGCCCATTATAGTACAATTATAATAAGGAGCCCCCAATAAAGCCCTATTCTATTTCTTAAGGCCCCTACATTATGGCAGTAACCGCCCTTTTCATCGGATCTCCATTCCGAGGAGCGCTTGCCCTTGACCTTCTGGTGCTCCGATGCCGGATTTCAGGCCGCCCTGGGGCCGCTCTGGCTGGGGGAGACTTCATGGGCATCAGTGACGAGCTGATGAGGACGACGACCATGACTGTGATGAGGAGGAAGATGATGAGGACGATGATCATGGTGATGATGATAATTTCGATGACCATCATGAGGATGACGATGAGGACAGTGAGGGCAATGAGCACAAGATATAACGACCATGGGGATAGAATCCTAGAAGTTGTGAGAACTATGGAAATCCCGGTATGCTGTGAATGTTTAAGGAGCCAGGCGAGTGTTGAGCGCCGGTTTGGGCATCGATCCTCCATGCTTGCCGATGACGACTTGCTAGAACCCCAGGCCGACTTTTACCAGGTAGGGCACCTCTTCCAACCGCCGTATACGATTGCTGGTTCTGCAAGTCTTTGAAGGACGTGCTCGTTTTAATGTTGAGCTTGCGGTGACTGTCTTCCTCAAGCTTGCAAGCCTCCACAGAAAATGATCCCATGCCTTTGTCCTCTTTATTGCAACATATTTCAACGCGCAGAACATCGCTTTATGCACACACGGCCTTTGCAAACCGCATAAGATCTTCAACCCCTTGATTTTCGGTTTGCGCACTTCATTACCAGATCCCTGCGCCCTGGGCTTCAACCCGCGCGTCTCCTGAGCTGCATTCTGATGCGCAGGAAGCCCTGCAGAGCGAGCGTCGTCTGCCCGGAAGGGGATGCCAACAGTTCTTGGTTGACATGAAGTTTGGCAGCTACCTCTAGGAAATGGGCGGTGGTGTTTTCGCACAGGTTGGGCAATCAATACAGCAGGAGCACCTTGAACTCAGACTGGTCAATGACAATAGGCAGAGGAAGACGAACTATGTATGATTGCACAGCAACCTTCGAACTAACGTGCTTGGCCATGCCTGATGCTCTTGCCAGCCTCAATAGGAGACTGCCAGGACACGGATGGCCATGCCCAAATTCTTCACCACCAATTTTCAGCAAACGGATCGTATGCTCGTAATTGTAGGTACCGGGCATTGCAGCCCTCTACCAGCATGTTCTTGCGACTTCCAGCAGCCGAGGAAGCTTCAGGCAACGGCAAAAACCGTGAAACCAGTTGCCTTCCAGACCCTAAAGCTGACGTTCCAAACTCTACTGTCGCTTCTTCGCTGGCTAGGTTCCGCCCTGTCTTGGCTTGCACGAGCCGATCCCGACCAGATCGAGGTGCCAGCCGGTCTTGGAATGTAAATGTTGGCCGTAAGGGAAGGAAACCTGTGGTGTTTTGTGCTCGGAGGGCTTGAGCGACTCTTGGAAGAGTGCCGCTTTTTTCAGGTTATCCTAAGTCCTAAGCTTCTTGTTCTGATCAAGTCAGGCTCGTCCAATGGCAGAACGACCAGCTGAGACGTGGCCTGGACAGCAATTTCGAAGACTTCTCGGAGCCTCATCCGAAGTACTTGGACTCGCCGCAGTGCTTCTTTTGAACGGAGGGAGCATGCAGCATTGCAACTCCCGCGCAGCCGCACCTGCTTCGCAGCACCCCGCGAATCACAGGCCAAGCGATAGCGAAAGTTGTTTGGCCGACTGTCGCTCGGACACAGCAACGCTACTGATACTTGACATGGTGCCATTCTCTGCCAAGTTTTTTCCAAGCTGATGTAAGCTATATGCTTGACTTGTCCTCTCTGCACCAATGTTGAGGTTGCAAAACACATGCAATCAAGAGCTTTTCAACAGCCCAGGCCGGAAGGCTGCATTCGAATCGTGGCTTCCGAAGAGATTGAGGCGGCTGTGGACAAGAGATGTTCGTGTAGTGCTCTGCCGGCAGCCCCCCAGACGCATCCAGACGCTAAGCCCTAAGCCCTGAAGCCGGAGGTGGACATGCCAGTGCCGAAGAAGGAGATCGATGTGGAAAAGGACCCAAGGGCCAAATGGTGCTTGGTTCTTTTCCAGGAATAGGGCTTTAGGGTTTGGGATTTAGCATGATTTAGCCTTTCGGGTTTTTGCGGTTTAGGGCGCATTTTGCTGACATGTCAAAGTGGGGTACCTAGGTCGAACCAGGTTTCGCGGATGTTCTGCTCCACCATCAAAGTGCGGCTCCATGTATGTCACGATCAGCCGCAGCACACTTGCTGTTCGGGATCCGGACTTCCAGTAAATTGCATTGGCAGCATGTTGCTCGTGCAGTGGAGAACGAGTGGCAACCTTGTGGCATCACTGGACGAAAAGCAGCTCTCCTTCGAGCAAACCCAGACGGTCGGAGATCTGAAGAAATATTTACACAAACTGACGGGAATTCCGCGGTTTAGGCAAAGCCTCACTAGAAGTGAGGATGTCACAGAGCTGCTTGACGAACAGCTGCTTCATTTGCCAGGAGTTCTGCTTCTTTTGCAAAAGAGTTTCTGCTCCGGAGAATCAGAAAAAGCAGGGAAAACTGCTCTGAGGCAGGCCGTGGAGAAGAAACGTGTCGAGGATGTCGTGGCTTGTTTGACTCAGCCGCAGGATCCGAATGTTGTGAGTTACAATGGCTGGTCGGCATTGCACGATGCTTGTAACTTCAATCTTGAAGAAATTGCCAACTTGCTCTTGGAGGCTGACAGCGACATAGACATGACCACTCAGGCAGGGTTCACGCCTGTAAACGTGGCAGCGGACCGGGGCCACGATGGAATAGTGCGTGTACTGATTGGTGCTGCGGCTGATGTTGAGAAAAGCAACTCCACAGGCGCAAGCCCTTTGATGAGTGCTGTTCGCAAACGCCATCACCGATGTGTTCAGCTCCTTGTTGAATCTCGGGCGGATGCGAACACTAGCGACTCTCAGCCCACAATGCCTCTGCACGTTGCTGCGGAGACGGGAGATGCTCTGATAGCTGAGATGCTTCTCAAAGCAGGAGCTCTTGTGAATGCAGCTCGTTTCGACGCTGCAAAGCCTTTGCAGCTGGCCAGCCGAAAGGGCCAAGACCAGGTCTTCGGCTCGTTGCTGAAGTTCGGGGCTGAGCTGGATGTGGTCATAGAGGAGGGTGCATCATGGCGACTCTTCGTTGCGGCCATGTCTGATGGAGACAATGTTGATGTTATTTCAAGACTGCTGGAGGCCAGAGCCGTGATTGACTTCAGAAGGACCAGTCCGTTGCATCTTGCCTCAGAAAAAGGCCTCGCGGGCGCTGTCGCATTGCTTTTGGCCGCCGCTGCCGACGCCGACCGCCCGGACTGGCAAGGAGCCCGGCCTTTGCACCTGGCGGCGAGGAACGGCCACAGCCAGGTGCTCCGGCTTCTCCTGGAGAGCCGAGCTGATGCCACTGAGCTCCGGGAGAAGTACACTGAAGATGTCCTGCAGCTACTCACTTCTGCCGATCAAGCTGCGGGCTGAGAGCAGACGCAAAAGTCTCTGACAGCATCTTGTGGATGGGATGTTTTTGGCATACTCGTAAGACTCCTCCTGAGACTCGGACCATTTTCAAGCGAAAAGCTTCGACCAACGCCCAAAGGTCCCTTCAAACCATGCTGGCAGGCTTCTAAACTCCAACATTGACTGATCGCCTCACCAGGAACTGCAGCGGCTGCAAAAGCAGCTGGATCAGGCCTAACTGCAGTACGGTTGTTTAGCCTTCGGGGCTCAATTTGCTGATTCGGCTCCTGTATCGGTCGGAGTTCTCGCCCTGCTCACACTCCCAAAGTCTGCCCTTGTCATTCCTTGCACTCTTAAGATGTCGCTTTCCGAGAGATGCATTTGGCAACGGAGTGTTCTGATTCTGTTTGCCCTCCAAGGTTTCGGCCCTGCTGGAGAGCACAGAGAAAAAGATCACGCCTCAATTCATGGCCCGCCCGACCTGCTTTGCAGTCTTTCACCAGATGTGAACGAATGGTTTCATCGGTTCCGAGTCTTGCGTCATGCTGCAATGTGCTTTCGGATAGAGCAGAAACTAGCACAGGTCTTGAGGCTGGCTTTCTGCATCTACGTACGGCTTGACGACCTTGATTACCAGATAAACTGACAAAGCAGTATTCAGTATACAACAGCTCCACGGCAGACGAGTTGAAAGAGATGGGGTGGTAGTGGGATGATCTGTTCCTCAGACTCCACCCGAAGAGTGCGGCCAGGAGAGGGCGAACCCTACTGCCAAGGCTTGGCCTTGCATCGGAAGGGGATCGGTAAAGTACGAGCTACCAAGTATTAAAAATGCAATCGAACCCTCATAACGTTGCTGTCGATCGCAATGCTAGTCCACAACGACGATGTCAAGTGGCCATAGGATGCTCCTTGTTTGCATGCTTTCCGGTTTCAGCTTCGGCACTCGCAAGATCTAAGCTTGGGTTCGGGTAGTGCTCGTCATTCTATTGTATATGGGCCCTGAGGGTCGCTGCGCCGTTCGAGCAGCCACACCGCAGTGTTCCGCAGGAGAAGATTCTGCAGAAGCGAGACGAGCTGAAGCTGCAGAAGGCATCGGTGGGTGCGTGCACACTTGCTCTGCACCTCAGATCACCTCAGTAAATCTCCACAGTTTTGCGTGGCGATGGCTCCCTGCAGGCCTCCATCTCGACACAGCTGGAGGAGCTCAAGGGTTCCGCCAGGGACCTGGAATCTGGGGCTGTCGTCATTAAAAACCTGAAATAGTAATTAATGAGGAGTAGGAAGAATTAGTATCGCAGTACATCCTACTAAGGGGCACAGGTCTAGAAGAGCAAGGCAACCTGTTGGCAACTAGACAATGGCAATCAGAACGAGGATACTTCGATGGGCAATAGCATGTAAGAGCTCTTACATGATCGTAAAGCTGATGCACGCCCCTCCTTGTTTGCCTGAGTTACATACAACATGCGATGTTCATCTTTGCCCGTGCCATGAACTGAGCCTGCATCATACTCTAACCATGCCAAGCCTGCTAGTGACAAGCACTGCAGCATCTCGCAGTCCTGAACGCAGGCTGCAGAAGTGGAGCGTCTGAGCCTGAGCACGACAATCCCAACTCATCGGAGATGTATTCAGATGGCTGGACGGTAGCTCTTCAGCTGAGCTACCCTATCCGTCGAGACATGATTTGACGCATCGGTTCATTGCAGCCTTGTGTTGCATGCGCAGCTTGGGCTTTCACTGTTCTATTGTCAGTCCTTTCCCGTGCTCACAGCGCCATGGCTTGGTTCCAGCTGCTGCTTTTGAGCGTGTTTCCGTTGTTCGCCGGCGGCGTGCGACCTGGATCAGTGTTGAAGGCAACACAGGAGCTCCCAATTCCAAAACCCATCAAAGCAATTCTCAAACATTACATGAGCTATAGATAAGGATATCTTCGTGGCGAAATCCGACAGCTCTAGACAGCCATCAGAGCCATCCCTGCCCGTCTTTCAACGAAGGAGAATCTTCAAGGCGAATTGCTGGCCGAAGCCAGCAATGCAAGCTTGGCCGTTACATGGCGGCACAGGTAGCAGCATTTGAGATGCCATGTGCTGTTCATACAGGGTTTGGGGTTTAGGGTTTAGGGTTCAGGGTTCAGGGTTCAGGGTTCAGGGTTCAGGGTTTAGGGTTTAGGGTTTAGGAAGGACTGATGTGAGGCACCCGGAAAGATGTTGGCTGCCCTGGCACCTTTGCGACTCTCTTGACCAGTACCAAGGTGTCGGGTTTAGGGCATGTACTAGGACTCGTAGTGCTAGTACTGGTACTGGTACTGGTGCTGGTACTGGTACTGGTACTGGTACTGGTACTACTACTACTACTACTACTACTACTACTACCACTACTACTACTACTACTACTACTACTACTACTACTACTACAGCAACAACAGTAACAACAAGGTCACGCCACCGTAACGGATC